AGAGGCATTGAGGAAGGGAGCAATGTATCTTATCTTTCAATTCTCTTATACATTATCCTTAAGCAACATAGACAAAGAGATAAGTTGTAAGCAAACAAATTCTTTGCAGTAAAGAAGCAAAGAAATTTGTTATTCATCACATTTATACGCTTTGTTTGGATGACAGTAAGCCATAATTTTCATAGCTATTATCAGTAAATCATTAGTGAAATAGCGGTAAATAACAAATATTGGAAATAGCGATTAGAAATCATAAAATATAATAGGCTGGGCATTTTTCATATGTTTATGATGAAAAAATTTTATTTGTTTCCTTTTATTGCACTCCTGAAATATGTTTCATACAAGGCTTGACCAATGGATTCATTTCAAAAGTGGGCATATAAACTAAAAATTTAAGGAATGGAAAGAGAGATGAGAAATTTAATGGAAATTTCATGAAAGGCATATTAGATGGTTAGTTTATTTTATGTAATGTCACTTATAAGAAGTATATCAACATTGCCATCGCTATTGCATGATTTTTTTGCATTCATAAAAACAAGAATGGCCTAAACAAAATAGGCATCAATGACATTTATTTGAATTAGATCGAGAAGATATTCAAATTTAAAAAGAATAAACGACAAGTTTGTTTTGAATTTATTTTCTTATTTTGAATAAAAAAGAAAAAGCACAGAGAACTTAAAGTAATAAACAATTCAAATTCTAATATCGAACATAAATTCAAAATTCATTTTTAACTAAAAAAAATGATTTATTAAGTTATCTGACCCCATTATTAAGAACCCATTATTAAATTAGGAAATTAAAAATTTAAATAAAAAGAAAAATTAAAAATGTCATTTTACAAATTTGACGTTTCAAATACGTTCATAAATTAAACTTACCCGGTTGATGTTCCATTCGTAACGGTAATTACCTAATTAGTGGATTGCATAGTGAGGAAAACTGGTCACGACTAATACATTATAACCTAATTAAATATATATTTTCAAAAACCTGAAATTAATATAATCCCTTTATGCTCCATAAATTTCAATTTGTTGAAAATTCGTTTGCCCAAATATGAAAAGAGAAATATGAGGCATTAATGAATATGTCTCATAAAATGAAAAGAATAATTGAATGGGAAATTTCTTTTATAAGTTGAAACAATAACATAATCGACCAATAAGAATAAAATAAGAAAACGAAAAAATTGTTGTTTGATGAAATTATTAAATTTTAAATAATTGTATTCAAAAAAAACTTAATGCATTAATTACTCTAATATTTATTTTTTAAAAAAGAATGCCAAACAAATTATTATTATTATAATTATTGTTATTTGAAATGGTGAATGATCGCATGTCATATCATCAGCCTTTTTTAAATTTTAGTTGAAAAATATGCAAAAAGAAAGGAAAATTGAAAGTGACCTGAATTCAGAGTACATCGATATTCTAAATCAAATAATTTGTAAACCAAACTTTAAATTTTGTTAGTTTTCTTTCTTTTTGTTATTGAGCAGATGATCAAAATTGATTGATATTTCGTTGCAACCAATATTTAGTCGACGAAATTTACGTTGAGATAAAACCACAAGTTTTTCTTGCTTTTCAAATAAAAATTAAACTAAACGAATTTTTCGTTTATTTTTCAATTGCTTCATTTCATATAAAATTTTACACAAACAAATAATATCTGAATCATTTTCTATAAGGTAATACAATAAGCAGTAAATTCTGCATTTATTGTCAAATATAGGTAAATAATATAAATTTCACAGGGTAAGTAGAGCTAAAATACAGGTAGACACCTGTTACAATCATTGTTATTTACTCTTAAATTAACTTTAAAAAAATTAAAGAGATGCAAGATTGTAGAAAAATTGTTGAAATATCATTTAAAAGATTATGTGAGCTGTGGTGTTCCACATGTATTAGTTAATATTATTGAGACGAATCTTTTGATGAGTAATAATGAAGCGAAATAAATTCGAATTAGGAAATTTTGAGGTATTTCATGAATTAAATTAGTAGAGAAATGATATTCCAAAAGATTTCAATCTTTTGTTTGATTAAATAATCATTTAATCATAACGAATAATGAAAACTGAAAACAGAAACTAATTTAGCGTAAAAGAATAAAGAATTAATGAAAAATACGGAAAATACATAAAACCAGAATTTTGTAGCAGAATTTTTTTCGGTAATTCAAGGTGTCAAAAACTTCGTTAGCAATTCTAAATACTCATTAAACTATCTATTTGTATAGCATACAATCAATTACAAAAAAAGTTAATGTTTATCATTAACTTTATACGTTTAGTCATAAATTCATTTTCAATTAAAATATTGAAAACCGTTCCATATTTAAAAAACAACAACAAGGTAATTATACACTGTTAATGATATCTTCGAATTTTATGCTAAATTATACGACTAAAAAGTTGAAAGCTAAGAGTACATTGTTGTTTGATATTTGTTCGGAAAAGAATAATAAAGGATGGGGAAAACTTATTTTAGGGAATATGTAAATTAAGATGCTGCCGAATATCATTGGAATAAAATTACCTTGCTCTAATCTTGTACTGTAATAACTTTACCTAAAGTAGCATCAACTTTATTGTGATAACAAATAAATATATATTTTCCACAAAGCAATAATTGAAATTTCAGGTGAAACATGATGAACAATTTACATAGGTAGCATTAAAGTGTATTCCATTTTAACCAAATAATTAATTTCTCGCATTCTAAAAATGGCTAAAATTTGTTTACCTTTCCAATCTAAAAAAAAAGACTAAAAAAGTTTCAATAAATCTTAGTATTTCTATGAGTAAATTAATGCAAAGTAATAAATCCGATTAAATCCGATCAATTTCATTATCGCTTTTTTTACTTATAATTATCTTATAATTGTTCACAAGCAAATCGATTAATTAATAACAATCAACAGAAATTCTTGAAACTAAGCTTATAATAATTATTCATAGTGCTCAACTACAGAAGTTCAAATTAAGGGTGATGTAAAATTATAAGCACAGGTCGGGAGTTATTAATATTATGAATAAATTGGACGCATATGTCTACAATAGCTAAATAATGACAGAAAAATGGTAATTAATATTCGTTTATTACAGTGAGTTTGCAGGAATCAAATAATTCAATGTTTTTAAAATTTATCAATCAAAAATCACATCTCTGGATTGAATTTCTGATCCTGAAACTACTAAAATAATGCTAAATATTTCTAGCTTTTTTCCCTTTCCATTGTTTATCATCTTCCCCAAAATCTTATCAATAGTAATGCATTAAATAAGCGCCTTTCGTGTGATAAATACGATTATCCAATGTTCATTTTACAAAAGCTCATTATAAAAGATTAAAATGAAAACACTGTTTATCAATGATTAGAAATTTTGCTAACTTATGATTTTTTTGAAGTGGCGATTTCTACTGTCATTCTGACTAAATAATACTTGTAACCAATGAAATTAATCGTGAAATGAAAAATATGTCGGCAATCAAAATAATAAATTATTAGGAATACTGATCAAATTGTAACAAATAAACTTGACTAGTGAACTAATAAATCAAAAGTAAGCTTTTTTTTGGATATATTGTTTTTTTTGATACCTTACGTATTTTCATTTAGATACGAATTTCCAAGTTACAGATTCCTGTCACTAACATAAACAATTAAAGAACTTCACAAATTTTCAGGAAATATATTTAAAGACAAATTAAACGAACGACCAAGAAAGGTCAAACTATACTAGACATATCGTTTACAAGTGATGCATCTGCAGCTAATTCATTGGGATATGTAACCCATGTTGATTCAGGTTAAAATTGTGAATTCCGATTAAAAACTCATGCTTGGCAAATGATGTATTCACTCCATATATTTTTCCAATATTTCATTTGAATTTGAAACCCCTAGAACAAGAATTAACAAATCGCACTAACATTGCTTTTTAACATGCTTACAATACGTAAAGATGAAATTAAATAAGCGATTTCAATAAATCATTATCAAATTGGAATTATCTCTCTTCATTTGAAGCAGAAATGCGGATGAAAGATAAAACGAAGTCCTTCATTTTTTTTAGGAAGAAAGGAATTCCATGCCGTATACGCCATCAGTTCTGCATAGTATTTCATAGAGTAGCTACATAAATTTTCCTCATCTATTTCTATTTTTTCAAAGCTTATTTTATCTTATCTTTCTAAAACTGTACTTTTGAAAGTTTCAAGATCATGGGAGAATTAATTCCTAAATCTTTCAATCGACCTTATACATTCTCATGTAATTTGAATCGAATTTATATTCTCTTGAAAATTTTATCAGCATGATGTCTTCTTCCTTCGGTAAAACCATGACGTTCAGGACAATTTTGAGTGATCTGCTTTCAGAAATATATTTTAGGCCCCGATTTCATCGCAAACTTTTTATGACCTCAGCATCCATAATTTTATAAGTTTAAAATGATAGAAAATAAAGCAAACATGAAAATAAGCTCTTAAAAATATACAATATTATTAAAAATATAGGTTAAGAATATACAAAACCGATGCTCAGAATGAATCAAAATGATAACGTGTATCATGAAACACATCAAAGAACTCACAGGCAGTACTTAACGAAATACCATGTACTTCAAGTGCAAAGCTATGAAAATTTTGACTTCGATCTAACTTCCAAATAGAAATCACTTGCATTTTAACATGTATCCAAAATGAATAAAAATCTTTGAATTTGAGAAAAGTTAAAACTTACGATCCAAAGAAAACATAGCCTCGAAGGTAAGGAAGAAACTACAACAACATATTACCAGAGAAATAACTGCAGGAAAAGGGAAGAAATACTGCTCTGCTTAGTTAGATAACCCTCAGCTAAAATAAACGGACTGCTTCTGAATTATTTATGAAAAAATGAAAAATTCCAAAAACTAATCGAAAACTTTTTTTTTTAAATAATCCCACAATTTTTGAATTTTTTACATTACTGTATTAAACATTATGTTCTGCTTTTTTGAATTGTGCACAAGTGTCGACAATGGGGATTCTTTGTTTTAAGCTTTCCAATACTTTTTCACGTACTTCATATGAACCAAGTGTTGTGTTTGGGCTATTTAAATTTGCAAATATTGTGTTTGGGACAAATGGGACTTCAGGAATTTTTGAACCAGTCATTTCATTTCTCTCTTCGCAACGAATTACAATATCCTCGCTTTCTGAAAATGCAGAATTATTCACACATATCACAATAAGCACTGCAAAAAAAATGTCTACTAATAAAAAATTTTATTGAAAAAAAACAAAGGCCCACTTATGCTTAAGTCCGCATCGCCTGTCTGCCTTGAAATGTGACTGTCATCCGGTAATGAATTACTTGACGATAAAGCAATTATATCCTTGAAAGGTGCAGTTGGCAAAAAAATTGATGGACGAAATAATTGTGAACGACAAAATTGATGCTAAATAAAAAACAAACTTCAGATTAATCGCATTTCCATCCAAACATATAAAAGATTTATTAAAAATCATTATTTCACCTTTACCTCGTACTCCACTTTTATAAGTTCAGCTTCAGCTGTCGGAGAATGAGCAAAAAACTCGAAAAAAATGTCTAGCAAAATTCCCATTTCATCGGCATTAGATTGAGTCTTTGAACCGGTTACCAAACTGAAAAGCCGGTATGCTATAGGATCAAATCTTTTACAATATTTTGTTTCCATCAACACATTTAAACTAAAGATCTCTTTGCATAAAATTACCATTTTCAAATGTTATAAAACCTCGAAAATTTTTCAAACTTTAAAAAATCCTTACTTGATCTTAAGATTTTAATCTTTTTTAATCTGTTAAATTTTCCATTATTACATGATTCTCTTTCTATACAGATTAACGCAAAAGAAGAACAAAGAATAAATTTTGACTGAAAGTAATAAACTTGTTTCCATGAAATCTAAGGAAAAATTACTGACCCTTTATGGCGCCGCTGACAAGGAGACAATAATGCTCGATCTGTGCCTCCTCGACTTCGATCACGGATCGTATTAACGAGCGGTGGGCGTGAAGAACGAGAACTGAAAAGAAAACAAATGCCACGAAAAAACAAAATACAATAAAAGTCTTAATGTATCTATTGTTATTTTGCTTCATTATTTTATTTCCTTAGTAAAGTATGCAAAACAGAATAAGAAAAATGGGGAAAAGAACGAATTCAAAATATACAGCTAAAATATTTTTTTTAATCAGAATCAAGAGATTTGCATAAGACACGGCTTGCGCCAAAATAAATGATTTTGAAAATAACGCTTAATATTCCAACTATTTTTCTCATCAGACAAACTTTCAGTATTTTAGTTTTAAAAGACGCACTTGTCGCTAGTAGATTTCCTCGTTAGTCTTTTTTGCTCTTTGGTGGTTTTTAGATTTTTTTTAACCGCCGCAATTTTCATTTGTTCCTCTCGTTTCTTCTGGTCTTGAACTAAGCGGCGATTTTGCTCTTCCTGGAAACTGATAGGATATTTATAGAGTAAAAAATTTCCGATTCAAAAATATGAAACGAAACAAATGATAGCATTTCCATTTCCATTAAGTAACTTGCAAATGAAAAAAAAACTGGAATTGATTACTTTCTAAATTTGTTTGTACATATATTTACTAAATATTTACTTTTTCGATAGCTTCAATCCTCTGTTGACTATCTGGCTCGAGGGTATTGATTTGTTGACAGATGGTCTCCATTGGAGCTGGATCTGGCTTGTAACATCGTTTGTGATCGATCACAGATGTCACAGCGGCTAAACAAACAACGTACGGTTCGAGCTGCTTAGCTGCATTGACAATATGGCGTGCCTTTTCACGTAGTGTTATTATTTCCTCAATCTAGTAATCATAAAAATATTTATAAAGCAACTCAAGCAATTATACTGCTACAAAAACAGAAAGTGTGCAAATCCATTATGTACATATGATATACATGTGGTGCATGTCTTAGTGAGATTTTATTCAGGAACCTGGGATCAGAAAAATTAATTGAAAGATGAATATCAAAACTGAAATTTATTATCCAGAAGAACCAACCAGTGTTGTAAGTGCTTACCTTTTCCCTGAATAGAACTTGCTGTCTGCGGACTCTATCCAACTCTTCCTGCCATATCTGTTGCAGTTGAGGTTGCAAATCACTGACAACTGTAGAATGCTGACTAACACTCATATCCAAATCCTTGCACCTAAAGCAATTTAAAAATAATCTAACCACAGATTTCACAATATATCAGAAAAATACCAGAAAGAGAAATAAAACTGCAAAAATTAGGATATTATCAGAAGGAGATAACATCTTGGTATTCCTTCTTATAGTTTGATAATGTATGCTTGCTCTGTGATCATGCACCGAAGGAAGCCAAATCAACAAATTGTACCAGCACATATTTAAAAATCCTGATTGGAAATAAGAAAAATTAAAAAGAATCAACATCAAAGGAGTGGAGGAGACCAATAACATGAAGTAAAATTTCAAAGGTAGTAAAGAGTGATTTGAAACAGACAGTGTGCAATAATAATGTAAGGCACTTATAGTGAGGAGCAACACGAAGATGTATTTTAGCGAAATATCCTAAAGAACTTCGTTTTTCTTGGGAATAATTATTTTTAAAATCTTTGATAAGGATTTACCTACGAATGAGGTCAATCATAGAATCTTTCTCAATAATACATCGACGCAATGTCAAATCTCTTTGTAACTCTTGCACCTTTTTACCAAGTTTTGTCATTTCGTGATTGTATTGTTGAAGAGGAGTTTCCACTCTAGTAAACTGCTCACCAAATGCACCAGCCAAATCAACAACCAGCTGGTATTTACTTAGCAATAATTGGGATCCGTTGACAACAATAGATCTAAAAAATATCCATAATGTTTAAAAATTATTAGAAAAACAAATTGAAAATAAAGTTATCACAATATAATCCATGCAGTAATTATCCATTTTAAAAGTTCTTACCCGAAACGTTTTACGGGATTATTTCTCGGAGATGCAGTTCCACAGCTTCTTTCATTTCCGTCATTACCATTGTTTACATTAGTGCAGAGTAAAAACGAAGACAATCCAAGAAATGGTTCCAAAGCTTTATTGAACTCTTCTCGGCTATCCAATGTTAAATCGCCAGTATATTGCGGCTTTTCACATTTCATTGATATCAGTGACTGAAAAATGTCTTTTTAAGACTGTTTGTACTCTTCAAATAGTTAAGGCCATAAGTAAATAAAACGAATGTTAAACTAAAAAATTGCTAGCAAATTTTTGATGCGTACACATCAAAAAAACTTTTCTTACTTGAATTCTTTTCAGCAAATCTGTATAACACTGTAAAAAGTCAAGTTTCGAGGCAGATGAGCAAAAAACTGAGGCACTCAACAAGCATAGTCGTGTTGTGGGCTGAAAAAATGAGCCTTGATTTGAAATAAGGAAGGCAGAACATATTCCCATTATTAATCGTGGAATATAGAAAGAATTAGTTCCGATAATAACCTGTAGGGATGTAAGTTGCCTCATCTGCTCATGGAAATGTCGGATACGTGTAGCCATTTCTTCGTCAAGTTTTGTCAGTAAACGATCCCGCACTGTTAACAGCGTATCGGTCATTTCCTGGCAAGTTTGTCGAATGCTGAAAATTGAGAAACAAAAAATCTTATAAAGAAACAAATAAAAAAAACGTGGTTCTTGAGACTCATTTCTTTCTCATATACAGGAGAAATAAATAGCAGTCAAATGCGTAACAACTCTGTTTAAGTAGCATCATCTTTCTTAAAATACATTATTTTGAATTAAAAAAAATGAAAAAAAACCTCTCACAAGCAACACGGTGACTTTCAGTAAGCTCAGAAGCTAAACGTTTTCTTAACTGCAACTGCTCGGCAACATCGTCCTGAAGTGGAATAATAAGAACTTTTAATGGAAATTTGTATGTGAAAAATGAACTTCGTTGATAAAGTATACTTGAAATGCGCGCAATTTGACAGTTGCCTTGTCCAGTTTTTCACAACCCATTTTGTGTGCAGCGTCAATTTGAACGAGATGATGCCTTGAATAGAATTTTAAAGATACTTCAAAATAAAAGTAGAAGCTGCAACTATAAAAAAGCCGTATTTTCCTTCCGTTTTGTTTTAAGCTCCATTATTCTTTCAAAAATAGCCCTAGCTTATTTAATTTTTAGAACAAAAAAACAATTACTATGGCGTAGTTTTAGAATGAATGGATATAATCACAATGACTAACACATTTCACTACAACATACAGCACTTTGTGAGCAAATGCGGAAGCATCAACTAGTCTTATTGGTAAAATATTGTTTAAATCAACTAGCCTTATTGACAAAGTATTATTTAGCCTTACTGACAAAATATTGTTTAAAAAAAAACTGTCGGAATGGAAATAAACAAAAGATATGATTAAAAAAATTCAAAAACTGACCTTGAATCAAAAGCAGCATTATTAAAGCATACAATACATGCCAAGTTACGACTTTCCATCGAATACAGGATATAAGGCTCTCCATGTGTTGGACAAGTCATGCGTCCTTTGACCCGTGCTCGCTCTTCCAAAGGCACAACTCGATGAGTAGCAAACATTCGGGCCTAGCAAAATTCAAAGTTCCGAAATCAGAAGTAGAACTCGTAATAAGCGCTCAGTTTCGACCGCCAATCTCTTGTGTATAAAATTTATAAGTGTCACTCTAACTAAATAGAATGACAAGCATGAATTACCTGATGTGTACTATGTCGACACCGATTACAAAGAGCCTGTTGACAGGTTTCACAGAAATGCATCGGTTGTGATATCTTAAAAAAGTGAAATATTCTTGCCAAAGTAAGTCGAAACAGATATAAACACAGTTCCTTACTTCCTACGGACTTTATTTCTTCTCAACAATGCAGATGCCAATAGAAAAGCTAAATAATAAAAAACTGGAAAGCTTTTTCCTGGAATTCTGGAATCACAAATAAAAAATAGAATGGAATGAACACTCATGTCCTTAGCGTATAAAATTCATGCATGAAATTAGAACATCTTTACCTGATCACAGTTAGCACATACGTCAGCTGTTTCATGACTAGTATCAATTAAGAATGAGAGTAGATTGTCCGGACATACTTCACCATCGATTACGGTGCCACATACTGGGCATGCCTTGCGATTCTGGATGCACTCACGACAGTAATTATGCTGACACGGTAAACGAATAGGCGATGAGAATTCCTAAATAAAAGCTTTATTTTCTTAACGATTTAATAACATTAACTGGAAAAATCTAAGTGAACTCAAGAAATAAAAAATTGTAACCAATGATCACAATAAATGTCGCAATTTATCAATTTGAGAAGTACGACGAGTAAGGAAGCCATAATCTGAGTCGATAATGCAAAACAAAACAAAAAAAAAATACTCGATCGCATATGAGGCATTCCAGTGGATTTCTCGATTCCACATTCTCCAGTTTGAACATCAGCAGCGGGGATGAGCATGCCATTAACCATTATTTCATAAACGTTTAGACGTTGGTGCAACGCGTGTAATCTAATCGGCACACAAAAAAGAATCAACTAATCCATTTCTCTCAGCCGAAAAAATTTACGAAATAAAGAAAAGCAAACGCTGTCCTCTCTCAACGTGATCAATCATCTCCTATCATTAAACACTTATATCCCTAATATATCGAAATAATTTTTGGATTAGTCTCAGAAACTTCAGAAATTCATGAGAGTTTCCACCGAGCTCATCAATGCTTCAATTTACTGTCAACTTGTGACAGTAAACGCCAAAAAAAAAACGCGTGTTATTTCTTGTGCATCATTATTCGGAAAACAAAGTTACTAAGGTTTCATGGAACCATTCATGCATTTGCATTTGAGAAATAAAAACGAATAAATTTATTCTAAAATTCCCTCATAAAGATAACATCCCAATAACCAATCAAACGGACATATTAAAATTATCACATCAAACAATATAGTAAAGGAATGTCAAGCTAACAAGCATTCCCTTAAAGAGAATTTAGAAAACTACACCAGTTATTATAGAGAAAATTTTGCAAGAGAAAGGCCGAATAAACTTGACGTTAAATAAATACTTTTTCTGATAAACTTGACGTTAAATAAATACTTTTCCTGATAAACTTGACGTTAAATAAATACATTTTCTGGAATATTTACAAATGATGCATAAAGTACTGTGCGATTAGAACTCGACGATGGAAGCTTTCCAGTAGAAAAAAATTGCATTTAGTCGACAAATTTTTGAAAATTACCCATCTGACCGAAAATAACACAAACAAAGCATAAAATTACATCAAAGTCTAAAAACCACCGTTAAAATTAGCAACCCAAATTTGAAAAGTTTAGTTTCAATGAAGTTCTCATTGTCAACAGAAATTCCGACTTAATTCTAGAACAAATCACAAATGAAAAGCAATGACATTGTAGTAAAAGCGTCAAATATAAACTTCTTTGAGTATTAAAAATGAGTGTTTTTAACAAAGGGAGCCATAAATGGAAACCAAATCTCCTAATTCACTAAAATAATCACATTGATAAGACTTAACTAACATGATATTCAATAATAATCGCCGACACGTAACTTCAACTAAAACTAGTAATGAAAGTAAAGATTTATCGTCTTACATAAAGGAGAATGTATCATTCTATAAACGTGAGTCCCAGTAGGCTCCTGAATTATTTCCTCTGAATTCAGTGTTAAAGCAAAGACAATCCTCCTATCATATTAAAAGGAAACGAATGTATTACCAGCATCTACTTAAACTGTAACATTGTACAACATAACTAAAATAGGTTAGAATCACGTTTATGCGAAGAAAAATAAAAGTATTTTCTTATTAAATTGTAGAAGTATTCATTATGACGTTCAAAAGACTAACTTGAGAAATATAAAAACAAAACCAATGATAGCTTTAGTCGATTAGTTTCTTGGCTTTGAAGTACCGACGAAGATATAGCACTTGCCAGATGGCCAAACTGAGAAGGCATAACATTGAAAATATACTCAAATACAATACTCGGCTGTTTGTTGATTCTGAAGACTTGTTGATTAAGTAGTTCCCAATAAAACATATTTTATTACAATACAATACGCTAAAATATTCGCACAGTTGATGTTCGCATATATTCGCATACTTCAGAAAAATCATGAAAAATATTCTCTATTTTTTCCGCAATTTGGTTATATTCAACTCTTACGTTGAAAACCTTTTCAAAAAACAAGCACACAATTTTTTACCTATTGTAAAGAACGTGGTTAGGAAGCAACGTGAAATACAAAAAATCAATTGGATAAAATCGGCTGTTTTCCACAGGAGTTAAAAGAAAGGGCATCTAAAAGTGACTTTGAAAAAGTTTGATAGCAAGCAACTTCAATTTAAAAAAATACGTTTGGAAGCAATTCAAATCTGATTGAAAAAGACACTATAGATATAAATAAATACCGTTAGTGGATCTCATCTCCTCTTCCCTTTGTCGCATATAAGCAAAGTCTTGAACAATGGAATCAGACAAATCCTCCAAACTGAAAAAATGATGTCCTTTAACAATTGAGGAAGAATAATTTAATCACTTAAAATCAATGAAACAATATGGATTAGGCAATAGTGGAATGTTTTTTTGCTGAATGAATTTTCTGCCTTTGAAGAATTCGGGAAGAAACAGAGATTTAAGCAAATACAGCACGCTTAATTTCCTTACCGTCTTAATTCAACTTCCAAAGGTCTAAGCTGTTCTGCCTCGGCAACTGCATTGTAATTCTTGGCTTCCACGCCTCGTTTCATCTCTAAATAAACCTCGCGGTTCCCATCTCGAACATCTAAATAAAAGAAAACTTGAGAAGCAAACCAGCAAAGACTTCAAATTATGTCTTGAAATATTAATGGTCGAAAAGATAGTTCACCCAATCCTTTCATTTTCTACAACTTCAATTTCGTGTCATATAATTCCCAAAAGAGCAACGAACTTGGCGGAAGATGTGTACTGAAGCATATTTCAAAGATATCATATTCGTCAGCTGTGAATGCAAACTTGCCACTTCTTTCAGTGAAACGTTCTCGCTGATATAATGTATGACTTCTAGTATCTGTTACCTGAAACATACTGAAATATTTCTTCGAATCACATGCCATCCAACATATCTTTGCTGTGTGAAATACCAAGTTAACAATTCGCATTCAAATTACGATATCAATAATTAACAAAAAATGCGCTAATTAGATCAACATCTTAGCTTTATTCCATATTTCATTGCTTATTATTTGTAGAAAATGGCCGACTTACATGGACGGAACTAATAAGGCCTGTAGTATCGGCAAATTCGTATGATCCAGTGACGACTACATTCTTATGTATTTCCTCCTTCATACATTTCTTACCATTTGGTGGTACGTAGAACCGAATGCTTGCCGTCCGTGAAATCAGCATGATAACAAGAAAGAAAATGGCATCCATATGCGTTATGTGCATTGTCCTCTAGTGATTAAATCAATTTCAACGGCTACAAATATTATATAATATTATATATAGTACAAATGTATTATATATAGTACGAGTATTATAACTGAGCTAACAACTCCTTTGTAGTAAGATGAGTTTGTGGTTAACGCAATGTGGAAGAATTGCTAGCAGTAATCACAGAGATAATCAAAAGGCTTCGCTGCACTCCTAACACCTCCAGAATCCCGGTTCTTCAATTCCTATTTATTTAATCACTATTAAGAACCGCGTGATAAACAACTTTTTATCGGTCAGTAGGATAGCCCTTTTCCCGTTTTCTGAATCTTCAGATGTATATGGTCGGTTATGATATCTTACTCTTAATAGAACATCTCTGTCCTCTTTCCCTTCCTCCCATCCATCGGTATTACACGTGTCGAAATCTTAGGAGCAAGATTATAATGAAATCTACAACACAGTCAGGAAGTACAAAGCTAGTGGTTTGGAAAGCCAAATCACTCGCTCTGTCAGCGTTGCACTATGAAATACAAGCATCTCATTGTAATGACTTTTTTTTTCGGCGATGAATATACGTCCTCAACTTCCATCAATTCTTCGCATGAAGTGACATATTTTAAGCTTCACGTAAATTAACATGTGGTTTATTTTTATCCATTAAATTTTAAGCTGATTTCACTCTTGCATAAGTTGACACTGTGACATTTTCAGTTTTAAATGGATCCACCGCTATCATCACTACAGGATAAGACAAGGAGTGAACACATGGCCATAGATCTCAGTACTGTCATTATCGATACTGCCACTGATAATCTTGGCTTTTTCGATTCCGCTAGACATGATAATCAGGAAAGAGGTATTTGATTTTCATTTGTCCACTGAGATATATGTCCAAAACGATCAAGTTAAGACATGCTTGTTAATATATGCTTGAACAGAATTTGATTGCTTGGTTTTAACTTTCAAATTAGAGTTGGCTCTTCAGAATCATGTTGGAAAAATATATTAGCGGTGAGATTTGTTGATCACAAAATTTTCCTCCAGATTATAACATTTCGGGGATGATATCGACAAATGTTGGAAGTTCTGATGAAAAACATTATCAGAGAGTTATGCAAGGTGGATATATAAGTCGTTTTCTTGAAAATCGAGGACTTGGTTGGCTTCTAAACATTGACGATGATACGGTTGATGTTCAAAGGCCTTTGTTGTAAGGATCGCTTTTAAATTAGTTTTGACAGTTTTTCAGTAATAGTATATAAATTATTAGTCAATAATTCAATGGAAAACTCTTCTTTTGACGTTTGCACTTTAAAGTCATTTCGATTCATTAACTCCTTATTTCTCAATGTGTATTGAATTCAGGGAAGAATTAGATATTGATTTGGCGGATATTTATTATAAAGTGCGCTGTGTATTATTTCCTTTGCCTTACTTTCGGCTGAAATTATATATTGTTCGAGAATCGCCTGATTTCTGGGGACCACTGTTTATTGTTTCAACCTATGCTTTGTTATCATTATATGGACAACTAAGTGTATGTTTTTTTTATGTGAATAATTTTAGATTTGTTTGGCTAGGGAATCCAGTGTCTTAAATGTCTTAAATTTAAAAACGGATAAATAAGAGTGAAGTAGTTATAGGAATTGACGCTTCAATGGTTCACTCTGCTGAGATTATAGTCACGTGGTAATTATCAACTCCTATTTCTTTGGTTTTTGTTTGCAACAGATGTTGAATTTTGCTGGAATTAAAGTACACTTTTTCATCAAACAAATAATTGAGAAGAGGGAAGGAATGCAAATTCATGTCCTGGACAGTTATTTAAACTTTATCTATTCATGACAGTTTCAGGTACTTTCATGGATTTTAACAATTTGGTTTATTGGATCATTTTTTGTATTTTTCCTTGCACGAGCTCTTGGAGGAGAAGTCGGCTATGGCCAGGTGCTTGGTATTGTCGGTTATTGCCTTATACCTCTAGTCGTTGTAGGCTTAATTATTTCAGTTTTATCAAGGTTAATTCTTTTTAAGTGATTGAACAATTCTGCTAATAATATTTCATGGTTTGCACGTTGATTTTTCTTTTAGTAATTAGTGTTATCTGTGGTTCCGGCCTTATCAATGCTGAAATTGCGAAAGCAAAGTAGGAGTATGCGTTACTGCTGCTCGTTTGCGTCCAATTCAAAAGCCAATGCGAGTCATAGTTGTTTTAGAATTGCATATGCAACATATAGCAACAGAAAACTTTTTCTGTTGCTGTTTGTTATATATGCAATTCTAAAACATTGGAATTTTTTAATACAGTGAGGCTGGTAAGCAACTATGATTTCCCATTAAAAAGGAGCAAGTAAATATAAATTACAATTCGTTTTTGTAAATAGTTTCGGGAAAAATAATTTGAATTCTTTGCAGGTTCCAATTATTTTCTATACTAATTGGTTGTTTCGGTGTTTTATGGTCTGTGTATAGTGCCGGTACACTTCTCTGTGTTGAGGAACTACGTGAAAAACGCACCTTATTAATTTACCCAGTTTTTTTATTATATGTTTATTTCTTCTCACTGTATTCAGGAGTATAACTAGTATAACATAGTTACATATTCCATGTTTTCCCATCCTCAGAATCTAAATTAAATTGAATTGTTATATTGAAATCTTTGGGGCTAAATTATTGTGAAATATCATATCGCCACTAATTATTGACTCAATTGTTATCAAGATCTTTCACCAAAACATGCTGTTTTTATGATAAAGGCAATATCCCTTTTACACCTATGATTTAAACTTTAAGCGAGAAACTTTGTTTGTTGAACCACCTTTCTGAAACATAGAAGTGACTTCCTTAATTAATCCCTTTCATTTTCTAAAAAAATATCATGGGATAAAGTATTTTGTCTTGATGATTCATTGAAAAGATAGCAATAAAATACCAATCATATGAAAAAGGAAAACCTTCTTTAGATTGTGACATTCTGCATTGCATGTTTTTGCCACCAAATTAAATAACGAATCAAAAAAGTAAAATATCATGCCAGCGAGATTTACACATACCTCGTTCTCGCTTTGCTAAAATTAAATGCAAAATTCTATGAAGTTATCACACCTGCCAAAATATTGATGATTTTTCTTCTTACTTGCATATTTAGTAGGAAGTATAGCATTTGGTATGTAAGAGTACAGTATTTCAGAAACTAAGGATTCTCATTAGGATTGCAATCTGAATTAATTGAGATTTCATGGTCAAAAACACAAATCGAAAAATTGGCCAAGGAAAAAGAAAACCAAAGAAGAAACTTTTCAATTCCCCTCTTGAAACTGAATTCCTACCTTTGCGCCAAAAGTACCATAAGATATTTGTCGTACAATTATTTCGTTTAGCATTTGAGAGATGAAAGCTTGGTATTCATTTCGGGAGTAATTCAACTTTTTTTTCAAAATTCCTCATGTGATAAATTCATATGAGATACCGTAGCAAAAACTTGAGAATTGAATACAGGTGGGAAGACTTGTTCTTAAATCTCTTTATCTCATATAGTTTTTGTGCTAACATTGAATCATCGTTGCTCATGCAGGAATTGTTAAAATACTGGCTTTGACGTCACACCAAAATACTTCTAATTGTCACAAACTAATACATTCATCCTTTCCTTCTTCTGTGACACCCATTATCTTTTTTTTCGATTATATTTTATTTCTGTTTTTAATCATTTCTTCTCTGACAAATTTGAAAAAAAATATTTTCATATTGACAAACAAACTGTAAATAGCGATGTGATTTAGATTGAATGAATCATTTTAATGAATTCAAAAAATGCAATATTAAAAGCCAAAATACCGCTTTGAAATTTCTTAGGAGAAATCTTTTCAGATTACTTTTGTTATTCGTTATGAATTTACTTAATGTTGTGAATTCATGGATGATCTGACAATCATCATCGTATCCTTTCAAGCGAATCTTTTCAGATTATTATTCTCATCATGATGAAAAGACACATCTCGAAATAACAACTACTTCTATAGGAGGTGAAGTTGACGTTTGTGAAAGTTCACATTTCTTCATTACACCAGAGATAATTTCAATTATGCATCATTGAGCTGCTACATTTAACGCGATTGATTGATTACTTATTTGTAATAATTGAATAAAAGGAATCTGCAAGAGAGTTGACAGGAGTGTAGAAGAAGGCTCGGGAAACACAACTGTTAGTGAGATGATAACTTATTTGGACGCTAAATGTTTCTTCCCTCATCTTTTCAAAAGTATCCTATCAATTTGTTATATGATCAAAATCTTGCTGATCTGCTCTTCAAACTATTCCATTTCATATTTACAATAAATTCTTCCAATGATATTTCAGTCATTCCATTCGTTCAATTACATTTTAGGAAAATATTTATCGATTTAATTTGTGATTGTCCACTTGACGAATTTCTCCATTCAGCACGACAATAAATGACGAAACGATGTAAAATAATTATACGACGTAAATTTATCTCAATCATTTTATTTTTAGTACAACTTCTATCACAATGCTATTACTACTGATAGTAATAACAGTGATAAAAATTTGTTTAGCTGATATGAAGGAGATATCGGAATGTGAATGGATTACTTGTCTGCTGCCGAAAGTATGTCAAAATATCAATGGCATTAGTTGGTTTTGCTTTGCTCGTTATATTACCGAAATTTGTAAAACTATTTCGATGAGACTATTTATTGCAAATGTACATTTCATTATTTGCTCAAATTCTCTGCTCTCATAACCAAATGATTATTTTAAATTTTGAAAATTATCCGAGACCCAACTTTTTGATACTTTTACAATCTATCCTAAATTCAAATATCTTTAAAGATCTTTTTGAAAAAAGTCATTATTTAATGATTATATGAAATAAAATGATTGGTTGCAGTATCATGCATTTTGCCAGATGATGCTATGAAAACGGAAATGGAAGAACCTTCGGAAGCGGTACGATCAGCTAATCAAATGAACTTAATGATCGAATCTGTATCTTCACGGATTCCTGATTCATCAACATTACCACTCTCGGTTCCTGAAATAGGACTATTTCCACCTTCCGATACAGTGACAAAACAAGAACCTCTGGTTAATTCAGAAAATTATACCGTTAAAACACTTCCAGAAATCTGCTGGCTTCCTGTTGTCACTGGACCCTGTTCAAAAGCAAAAATATTATGGTACTATAATTTCTTAACTGGCAGATGTGGAAGATTTAGCTTCAGGTTATAATTTTTAGTATATGATCAGAACATTAATATCTAAATTAAAAAATTAATATTTAATATTTGCTATTTTCATATCAAAAATGGATTTTTACGGATGGGGAGATCTACTGCTTTCTAGGCAAAACAGTCTGAAATTTTGAATCGATATTAAATGACCATTTCAAGAATGTTGCGATAAAGACTGATGCTCTCATACGTTACTGATGAATTGCCAGCATTAATTCAAATTAAATCAATCTTTAGTGTTCATTTTAGTGGTTGCGGTAATGCGAATCATTTTTACACTCGAAAAGAATGCGAAGAAACTTGCTTGGTGACATATTCCACTTAATATCTGATGTTTTTTGTTAGATCATTAAATATTTCAAATTTTGAATGCTTTATCATTCATCAGTTCGTTTAATAAGGTTAAGTCTTTCGATTCCATCTGTGATAGTCTTCGTCTGATCATCGATATTGATAAAATTTTTGATACAAATAATTTTTAAGGATCTGCAGAATTCTGCATAGATCTGAAGAAGTTCTTTCAGCAAGTTTTGTCTTTCTAATGCCCTAATTACACTCAACTAATTAATTTAATGTCTTGAGCAACTATTATTTTTAAAATGTAAAGATACGCTAAGCATGCTTGAATTTTATAAATTGATTTATCGAAACACTGATGAAATTCATTTCTTCGTCGACTACAAATGGGATTTATCACTGAAATATAAAAAGTTTTTCATGAAATATTACATAATTTCAAAGAATAGAAATAATTCAAAAGAGAGGTTTTTTAAAGTGGAAAATATCAAAAATATTTTAATGGATAAAAAAACATGCATTGCATAAGCAACCTTTCAACTTAATTTAATTTAAACAATGTTATTTATCATCGATAGATGGCAGAACTAAAGAATATCAGAAATATGATAACACAGAACTTTTAATTTAAATTTTATTAACATGGGTTTTCATATTACTAAATGTATATTTTGGCTATAAATGAGAAAACTTCCAGTATAGATTTTCATTAACTCTTAGTAATTTAGATTTAATTTTAATTGCAAAAAAGTTAGAAATTGGGAATGATGATGCAGATGAGCTTAGAATTAAAGTAACTAAAAGCTGAAGATTTCTTGTTTGGGTGAATAGTGATTGATCACTTTAAAAAACTTGAATAATAAATTTGTTGGAAAGTTGAGAGATTACTTTTGAAGCTTTATCAATAAAGCGATCCATAAGAAAGAATCGAATACAAAGTTTCATATGCTCTCTTTTATCGATCACCACTTCAGAAAACAAATTACATTTTTAAAGATTTATTTTCAGATTTTAAGTTAAAAATTACATTTCATGACGAGCGAATAAATTTTCTTTCTTTTCAACAGATGATTTTCTGCTTTCATTTTATAAAAAGTTTTTTTACAAAAAATGAAGAAAGGAATTTAAAAACGAAAAGAAAAGGAAGCTAAATAAATAATTATGCGTAAATGAACAGAAAGCATTAATTAAACTACAGTAGAAATAACCTGAATGAGTGATGTTGTGAACCAAAATTTATACTTCTTTTTCAACTTTAACTTACAATTGCCCAACAAGTATCATATTCAATGATACACATTCGATCTAATTAAGTGTAGGTAAAATAAAACGAAATCGAATAAGAAATCGATCGGAATTGGATTGCATTCTACAAGACTTCGCTTTTTATAAATATGCATGTTATCTTTAATCATTTTGAGCATTAAAATAAGTTCGAAAGTGCATTAAATTAACCGTATTAAATCGAATTGAATTAAGCAAAAATTTGCTGATTGGTATTTAAACTATAAAAGTTGAATTGATAATGAATGATAAGCTTTCTCACAATAGCACAGTGCAAGATTTTCAGGATATTAAATTGAGTAATTTTATCAAATAATTCATTAATAAATATTTATAGTATAGTGCATCGTCGTGACTGTTGTTGTTGTCCGTCACCACTTTTCGATTTCATTCTATCCGTTTTATTCTTTTCACTCACCGCTTCCTGTTGGAAAAATGTTTTTCAAACTTTTTTTCCGAACAAACAAATTATAATAAATCCATCAACTTTCTACCAAAATTACTCTTTTGTTAAAACGAATTTCAGTATTGCTGCCATTACAGCAAACTTTCACATTTTTACAACTTTATCAGAACAAAATTATCGATTTCTCAATGATATAAGACTTTTATTTCTATCCTTGTCGGAATTCAACCTACCTGTTTTTAGTCTTAATTGGTAAATCATACAGTTTTGAACTAATTTTGAATATAAACTAACTGGTTTAACTTCTGTTGCTGGTAAAGTCGGATGTGATTTTGTCTTCTGAGCTTCAGATTTCTGATTTAGTGGTGTTTCGTGTGCCTTCTCAGATTCAGACTTCTGTATCGCTTCATGTTTTGATTCATTTTCATTATTTGCTTTTTCAACTTGCTTTTCAATAGTTGCCGATGTTTCGACGCTAAAACAAGTAAATAAATTCAGCAATATTAGTAGACGCTAAATTAGCAATAGAACTTACAAAGTGAACAGAGAAAATAATCGAGTTAAATTAACCCACTTATTTTTTAGATGGTACTCAAGACTTACTTATCGGACAATTAGGCTTCAAATTTTTAGTTAGAAATATCTAATGGATTATGTATAAGGCAGAAAAATTTATAATACAAGTAAAAAGTAGAATGGTATAAGTTTCTGAAAAAATCGTAATTTAAGACGGATATATCTTTTGAACATAAGAAATGGAAAAATATATCTTTAATTGATTTTTGATTTTCAATTCTCAATTATATGAATTGAGAAATATTTACAAAGTTTCAAATACAATTACTTACTTCTCTTTCGTTTTATATTTTGATTTGAGCTCATCTTTTTCAATTTCAGGATTTATTATCCCATGAGCCAATGTTTCAATTCCCTAAACATTTTTTATAAAATATAAATACACGATACTGTTATGTCTTAATAATTTGAAATAATTCCATAATCTTAATGATCCTGAAAAATTAATGATAGATTGGCAAAAACATAAAGCTTGCTAGAAGCTTAGCAGGAATGAGGGAAAAAGAACTAAAGCAGTGCATGGATTCATGTGGAGAATCATGTGCAAAAAGCTCCACAAAATTAACAATAACATAATTAACAAAATTAGCAACAACAACATTTAATCAATTTCGTCCTCAAATAATTCTAATTTTTTTAAAGCTTGTGATAAATTCAGGCATAAATTTGCTTCATATTAAATTACTATCTATACGTGTCAATTTACACCTAATAATAAATTCAGCGCATATCAAAAGCCGATGCCTTTACAAATACCGAATCAAAAAAGTGATCAGCATAAATTCTATTTTCATTTCTCTAAAAATTCTAATAATTCAAAGATAACAATTTCAAATAAGACTTCAAAATAAATCTTTGAAACTTCTTCACAACTATTACTGTCATTACACTACTGTCACTATTACCGTAATTAATTTAGTCCTTAAAAAATTTCAGAAGGAAATTAAAAAAATAAGCAGAAATATCAAAAAAATAATAGTAACAAAAAGAAGAAAAGAAAAAACTTGAAAATACCCTTAAGGAACGCTGTCCCATAGCTTTGGCTTCTTCCGAAAGAATCATTTCAATAGATTTTTTCTTCGGTGGTACTGGTGGCGGTACATTTTTGGGTGATCGCAATGAGAATGAGCTTTCTGGTGATGGTGATGGTGGTGGCGCACGGTTAAATGGATCGTTATGACTTACAGATTTTTCTATCTTTGAAGACTAAAATTGTTTTTGTCGTCCTTATCGTTTTATTTTTAAATGCGAATGATATAATTTCATATATTGAAAATAATAGACTATTGAAGAATTTTCTTAGATGATTGTTGTATCCTCGAGAAGATGACAGATGGTAATGAAAGCTAATTTATTAGTTGACAAAGGTCGGAACTAACTATCAAATGAAACAATTGATAATTTAATCTTCCATTCTACAACTGAGAATTACCATAATAGTCTTGTGTGGTCGCTTATCTTAAATTTAAATCCAATAAAAGTCATTAAGCGATTTGCTGCAAGTCCTTCTTAATACCTTTTTCAAAGTTTTTCTTCTTTTTTCATATTTTCAGGTAATTCGGAAAAAAGAAAAGAAAAGAAATAAGCGAAGCAAAGAAAATCGAATAGAAAAGTTAATCAGAAAGTTTGGAAGAATAATTAAAGCGAAAAGAAGGAAAATTGTTATAGAGAAGCGAAATGAAAGTATATTTAGCCTAAGAAATTAATTAAAATTCAAAACATTACGAATAAACTGAAGAAAACTAAATTGCTGAAATAAAGCAGCAAGAATTATACGAAAAATATAACTGCACAGAATTATTGTATAATACCTGATGTTCCGGTTCAGTTTTCTCTTGTGTTTGATTAACTTCCAAAATTTTTATAACCGTTTTATTCTGATCATTGTCACTGATGTTTATAATAGTTGATTGTAATGCATTTTCGGGAACATTTGGAACTGTCGAAAAGTTCGAGATATTTTCTGATGTTAATGGTTGAAACGATGAAGTAATATTGTTCCTTGGTGGATCGGGCATTTCATATGCCGCTTTATCCATCACATCCTGAAGATCCATTCTATTACTTTCAGATGTTGTGATTATGTCATAACGGATGTATTTACACTATTAAATCTGGTCCAGCTTGAAATATATATGCCATTCAAAGATTTCTACAATGGACAGTAAATATGGACGTATTGAATGCTGCATGCATTCAAGTATCGACACAGGTAACATTAAAAGGTGCAAACAATTCAATTCATGTAATAAAATCAATTTATTGTGGGCAGCTATGTTCCAAGTACTGCTTAATATAAAAAGCGTACTTCAATCAAATACCTATGCAAATCACTAATTAAAGGTGGAACTCGCAATCTCTAATGAATTAACATTCACATTCAAGAAGATATAAGTTTACCTTGGTATGTTCTAGCGGAATCAAAGATGATATGAGTCTTCTATAGATTTTAAGATTATACTAAAGTGATTGTTGTGTATAATATGATTGAGGGGGAATGAAATTGAAATAAAAATTAAAGCGAATGAAAAGTGAGATTTAGAATTTGTAAGATTTATTAAATGTACCGAGGAGAGAAAAGTTGAAATTAAGAAATTTACTTCGTTGGTAAAGGTAAGGCTCGCAACTTGTTCGCCAAGTTGCGATGGATCGGATACCGACTTCATCTCATGTGTTTCCCTTCCATCAGTAGTGAATGATTTTTTAGTGACAAAGCATGATTCCGATGCTGCTTCACTGGAATCCTGAAATTACTAAGTTCTTCAGGATTGTCATAATTTTGAATGCGTACATGTAACTAATATGTAGCCATATGACAAATATTATGCAGATAAGAATTTCTTGAATCGATTACATAAAACTATTTTTGTATACTCTTTGCCATTCCTACTTCATCTCAATCTTCATTAATAATCTGATGAACTTTAGTTATTTTCTTAAACTCTGATGACGTATTTCTTCGTTTGATTTTGAAATTTTCAGAATGTTCAACCAACATTCTCCCAGTACTATTTGCGAATATTCAATCCTAACATGAATTTATCACAATTCAATAAAATTACTTCATTTAATAGTTTTTCAATATGCTCTGATGCGATAATCAATGATTTGATCATATCCGGATATCGAAATTTTGCCTCATCAACAGAATTCAATATCAACTCCCAAGAAATTAACAGTTTTGCAGCAAAAGAAAAAATCCCGAAATTACGAAAAAAGAAGAAATAAGCTAAAACTTATTTCAAATCATTAAGATGGAAAAAAATGATCTCAACGTTTAATACATCAGAAAGTACTACATTCTCGTTTCTATCTTTGATAAGACCGATAGCAATCCCAGTAACTGAGGCATTTATTGGTATATCTGTATTCATTAAGGCAAGGAAGTCTTGCAAATTGTGATCACAGAAGAAGAACAAGTCGATTCCATAATTTCTGATATTACTCTTATTGTATAAGGAAATTGAGATTTATGATGTAAGGCATGGTTACTTGAATATCATTATTCATAGACGAAGATGAACACTACTCATTTGCAATTTCTTATATAAAATTAATTGAAACCTTAGTCTGATGAGAAATAGATGAAAATTGCGGTGAGGTATTAGCTAATTTTCGTTCCTCATCACCAGTAAATTGCCTGAAAAGAAGTGGAATGCTTCATTCTGAATGAAAGTAAATATTAAACATTAATGTACTTCAATTCCATTTAAATTACTTCCTCTATGAATGATAGTGAAAAAGTTTAAAAAAAATTTTGTTACATTTAAAATAGAAAACTAACATTTTAGTTTTGTTGTCATCAGATGCCATATTATTATCGTTTAGACCAGCTGTATTATCATCAACTTCCTCTTTTTTTATTCCCTATCAAATTATTTCATTTTTTCAAAATTCTTGAAATTTCAAAGTAAATTACAAAAACAATTTAGTTTAGGTAAATGTGTAGACAATGTTGAAGTTCTAAACTATTTGGAAATGGAAATAATTGAATTATTCATCTAATAAAGTGTTGGCAAAAAGAATATATAAATCGAATTATTGAAATCCTCATTTCAACTCATTAAGCTAACTTCGATGATAAGACAAGAAGTGAAGAGAAAAGAGATAGAGATGAATGAAACATTTTCATTAGAAAGAGAACCAAATAAATCATTCAGGTAAGTAATAAGAGATTATAAATGATGGATTTCAATTACGAAGTAAGAATATATAAATCGAATTATTGAAACCCTCATTTCAACTCATTTCAATTTGAAAAATACTTCAAATGAAAATGGGCCATTAAAATAATGACTACTAGGCTGAGCTAAACAAAAAGGATAGACGTCCTTTATTTAGCAAAATGAGCCAAATGGAATTAAGCTAACTTTGATGATAAGACAAGAAGTGAAGAGAAAAGAGACAGAGATGAATAAAACATTTTCATTATGTCAGTGAAGAATTAAAAATAAAATTTTGATCAGTAATAATTTCAAGATTTAAAACTAAAAGCAAAACAACGCTAAGAGCTAAGAAGTGCTGATTGCATTCGATTTCAGCAACAACGATAGAATGTGAGAATTCAGGTGATAAGTTTATATATCACTCCCTCAATTATTCTATTTTCAATTCAAAAAGCATTTTGATTATTCAGTCTGCCATTTTTAAATTTGCAAATTCCAGTTTTTTATGAAATTTTTTGGTCTGAAAATTTGCTGTCGAAATCGATCCGTTGGAATTATCTTTTAAGTAAAACTTCGTTAATTTTACTGACAATTCTTTGCACAATTAGCTAAACAATAATTGCAAAAGAAAAACTAAACTTCTGAAATTCTTTAAATATATTCTTTAAAAAAAACCATATGTGTTACCTTGCTGTATCAAATTTAATTCATACAAAATTTTTCTATCAATTTTGAAGATTTATATATTTTAAAATGTAATGTAATCTAATCTCCAGTATGCAAACATAACGGAATGTGTGAAGATCTGAAAGACAGTAAGGATGGAAGCTTTTAAACAGTTCGAAAATTAAGCTATTAATTTGTTAGACTTTTTAAGATGATGAAATATCAGTAATATCGGAAAACGAAATAAGGCAAATTAGACGGAAGTAAATCCATCTATTTATAAGATGTTTTGCTAAAAGCTTAATTTTCAAGCTATTTAAATGAAATCGTTAAAAAAAGAAACTATGGCATAAGTAATAATTTGCTTGACATGAAACTATTCCTTTATTCCTCAATCTTCAGTATGTGGAATATAGACAGAAGTAGGAAGAGAAGAACGATCAGAGTTGAAGACTGAAATGATTTGAATGAAGTAAATGCTCGAATGAGTGATAGAAAGAAATGAAGAAAAGGATTGAAATATAAGAAGCTAAAATAATGTAACCCAAATGTTGGCAATAAATGATAGGCAGAAAAGATGAGAACATTTATTGTATGGCCTGCAAAGGCCTCATTTAGGCATTGGATGAGTATGCGAATGATGCGTCCTACTTTTTTGAAAGATGTGATGAGAATAGCCAGAAAATTAATTGATCCTCGATAATTGTTTTATTCTCAACGATACTAAATTTCATTTTATACGAAATAGTAATCGAATCTCTCTAAAAGCTTTCGTTGAAAAATCTCGAAAAATTTCATCGATACAAAGAATGTGCAAGGAAAAAATTGAACAAAATTTACAACTCTTCCATTAAATTTAGTAAGGTAAGGAAGAATTTTCCTTTTAGGAGCTAATTTATAATTGTAATAAATTGATCAAAAAGTTAAAAGATAAAAAAACTTGATACTTGATAAGTATTGGAATATCCTTTCTGCACTCCTTCGCCTATTATATTAACATTAGCATCCGGTTTTTCCATTCCTTTTACCTGCCTATTATCCTGAAAATTGAAAATGTAAAATTCAATATGAAAATAATGTGAGAAAGCTAATTTTGCAACCTTTTTCTAATTTTTTTAATCAAAAATTTAAAAAACTTTTCATCCTGCAAAATTCAACTTTAAATTTTTTTCATCAACATTTTTGCATAATAGAAATTTGAATTTCAGCAAACATACCTCCTGATTTATTACATCATCAGTTGTTTCTGGTCTGTTCAGTTTTTTACCATTATTAAATGCTTTATCCAATAACTTGTCCATCTCATCCACTTCATCATTCACAATATCACTGAGTGTTCTAGTTGCAGTACCTTCCAATTTTTCCACTTCATAATCATCATAATAAACACCGCTTTCGGAAAGAGTACCTACCTGTTCCGGAATATTTTCACCTGGTGGTACGATCTTTTTTATAGCTTGCATCTCTTTATCATGTTCTAATTTTTGCATCAATTCGCTTGCATTTCCTTCCACTTTTACGGTGTCATTGTTGAAAACATTGCTTTGTAAATGATCAATATTTTCAGCACTACGAAAACCATCATTATCTGCTGTGACAATCGGATTTTCTACTGAGAATTTATCCCTTTTTACATCACCATTATCCGCTTTAACACTGATATCGCTCATGCCAGCTATTTTCTTGTCTCCGTCATTCGATCCATAGAAGACATCATTTTTAATATTTTCCACCTTCGCATTAATCTCATTGGCTTTCTTATCGATTTCTCCCTTAAAACTGTGCAATTTTTCTCCGCCAATTTCTTTTACATCCGTTATTTTCTTATTTACTTCCTCATTTAATTTTTGAAACGGTTCAAATGTCTCTTTTATCACTTCATTTATTTTATCTGCTCCCTCTTCTATTTTCATTGCACCTTTCTCACTAATGTCACTTGCGAATTTTTTAATTTTATCAACTCCTTCTACAGAAACTGCTTCATTAACATTTTCCGCGCATTGATATATCTTATCCATACCTTCTTGCAATCTATCTCCAACACTTCCTTTGCATAATTCTTTAAATCCAGAAACTACTCCATCGACATTTTCGACAGCTTCATTGTTACTTTCATTTTTCATTTCTCCTTTTTTTAATTCCTCTAATCCATCGACTTTCTCAGAAATAGTTTTATGGATATCATCAGCGATTGTCTCCATTCCGTCCTTGATATCTCCCAAATATTCTGGAGCTTTCTCTTGGATTTTATTACTGAATGTTGTCAAATCATTGATTACACCAGAAACGGCGCCACCAACATTGTTCACTGTATCATCCAACTTTCCTTTAGCTTCCTTCAATATTTCACTTGTTTCATTTTCAATTTTTTGTCCTAACTTTTCAGTGGGAGTAATAATGTCTGAAGCTATTTTACTCATTTCATTTCTTAATTCATTAATTTTTTCACCGCCTTCTTCAACTTTTTCTGATAATTTATCGATTAAATCATTTCCAATTTCTGCGACATTTTGCATATTTTTTGCATTCAATCCAGCTGAATCCGTAATATTTTTAAACATATTCCCTTCTGCCATTTTTTCCCAATTAGAATACCTTTTTCAGATTGAATTCATCACCTGAAATTTTTTTTTACAAAATCCCATTCTTTTTCTTTTTTTGATTAATTAAATGTGATTAATGCGCAGTATTGGGAAGTAATTTGACGACAAAAGAATATTAAATGTCATCACTTTTTGATTCGTTTATAACAGATGCTGGTTGAATTATAATTGATACAGGTAAATATTAAGTAAGGATAATTAAAAATTATGTTAAAACAAATTAAAGACAATAAGCAGCAAATTGAGCAGTGATTGACTAATTTTGCAAATTATCGAAAAAAAAAGGAAAGGTTAGAAACAAAAACCATTTCGACAACATCGATCCTAAAGTATTGCAATTCCTTTTGTGACAGATATGAAAATCATTTTAAAGAAAGAATTAAAATAAAAAATTTAAGCAATAACAGATATAAACAAATGTACCATAACGACTCTTTTTTCAATGTTATATCTTTTCACCCTTAAAATGAAAAGAAAAAATGAGGACAGTTTCATCGACCAATGTCAACAACACGGATGACACTTTCAAAATCTTCATTAAATTTGATAAACAAAAAACCTAGAAATGAAATAGAATTTTAATCAACCAATTTTAGGATAGATTTCATAACAGAATTGGATAAAAAAAAGGAATGAAATGAATTCGCTAATACCAAATTTGAGGACACTTAAAGACAATTCAAAAACTTTGAATGAATGAATGAAAAGTAAGCAAACTACCGCTTACATACGGCTTGCAACTGGTAAACATTGCTGAAACCATCAATCAATTCTTTTTTCTATTAAAATTAACCACAATGTTTTGTTAACTTATTGCCAGCTAATAATTAATAAAAACTGTTGAAGAATAAATAAAATGATCAGCTGGCCTCATTCTAGGATCACATCACTCCAGGATCACTAATAAGGATCATATCATATCATTTTGCGTATTAATGAAAGATATTTCTGTCCCAACCAACAAATTCATTATATGGCAATATTACAATTATAAATTAATTGCTATTTAACGATAAAAGATTTCAGCACTAAAACAACCTATCCTATTATTTTCATCGATAATTGGAAATCTGGCTATTGTAATCCGATATTCTAAATTAATAATTTTTAGAACTAAGATAATTAGATTAGATAAAAATAAAATCGTGAGGAAAAATTAAGTTTTAAAAAGTTTGCCTTTTATTCGTTTAAATGAAATGTGCCCCCCAAATTGGAAGGATATATTTTAAACAGCTAAAATAACAATACGAAATTCTAATAAAGATTTATTCAATTGATGAAAAATATCGAAATGTTTTCATATGTATAAATACTTTGAGTTATTTGACTGTAAAACAATATATATGAAAGGTCATGCGAAAGTTCTATCGGATGGATAATTAAAATAATAAATTTTCGAATTAACATAAAAATAAAAGACAGAGAAATTTAAGATTGAAAATGCGAAAAGTTATTTTTCGACATAAGCAAATGCAAAAAAGAAGCGCTAAAAATCAATTTTCATTAGAAATTGATAGACAAAAGGTTTTAAGAAAGTAAATAATTATTTAATGAATATTTTTGAAGAAAGTAAAAAAGTAAGTATTTACTTAAAATATAAATATTCCTTTCTCATTTGAATTAAAATAATATTTCAATCAAATAATTAAAATGATCGTTTTTCAGAGGAGAGAAACAAAGAAGAAGAAGAAGAGGAACAGCTGTGTGATTGTCATCATTGTGAATAATTTTAGAGGATGAATTTAATCAAACCGATGCTAAAGGGAGTGACGGAGAGAGAGAGAGAGAGAGAGAGAAATGAGCTCCAGTTTCCGACAGAAATCTATCCGAGCATATCGTAAAAATAGGGATAATGAAAACTTTGTAGCCTAAAACATGATCGTTGAATGGATAAGTTAAGCGTTGATAATAAATCAAAACAGATAATTTCCTTCATATTTATTATTTACTACTAATCACTTTATCAATTCTCATCAAATTATTACTGATTTGATTGCTTAGATACTGTTACATTTCAATGAATATTTTCTAATAAAAAAAACTAAACAACAATTAATAAATGAATTTTATTAAATTACGGAAAAACAATTCTCATGTGGATCAAACAGTGATAGGAAAGGAAGCTTTGAATTTGGAAAATGGATGATAAGTGAAAATAAATTTCGAGAAAGGAAATGATTCATCTTAGGTAGGCTAACCCCCATACTAGTTCTACCAGAAAACCGGTTCTTTAGGTATTCTGAAATAGAAAACACATATAAATGACCTGAACAAGAAAAAAGATTAATTCAATATCGATGATTCAAATGATCGATCATCAATTTATTCAAAATTAAATATATAATATCGGTATGTAGCACATCATACATGAGTGCACGCATGCTGTAGTTGCAATTGCATGCAGGCATACTTTCCTTTGATTGCTCATTTGTCACATTGATTATCATGTGATATCGATTATGACAAACATTGAAAACATTGAAATATAAAAAATGGGAGAGTATGAGGGAAGTGCTTTCCCAGATTACTAAATAGTTGCTTATAGAATTTGAGATTTGTGAAAGAGGGCAAACACTTGTTCGATCACCGCCCCATAACAGTCCTTTCCTCATTTCCGCTTTCTAGCTTTCGTTCTATTATCCAATGGCACAGCAAATATAAACAAAACCTTCCTTTCACTCCGTTCTCTCTACCACCCGGCTTTCTATTCCATTCCAACTAAGCGGTTATAAGGAATTTTTTTACTGAATTTGTATTCGGAAATGAAGCATAGCATCTCTCTACACGTCTACCTACGTCTTCTCTCTGTCCCTGACCAATCATAAATTAACTTTCAAAAATTGAAAATTAATTATTAATTAGATCTTAATTTTTCTCTGAAACGAACCGTTCCTAGCTGTAGAGATCAGAATTTTTAATTAAAAATAGTGAGATATTGATGGCATAGAGAGATTATAATTAATTAATTAATTAAACTGGCGATAGTTCATTTTATTTGGGAAAAAATTCTCAGTTTAATGTATAATTACGTCAAGTTGCAAATATTACTTGTTTGTACGACATGATAATTTCCACAGTCCTTTTTGTGCTCATTAAAATGAATTGATTACCAAAGAGATCGATTTCAGCAATAATAGCATGGTCATTTCTATCTAGTAGTAGCCTCTCTTGAGTCGCTGGACACTTCTTTTTCGTCTAACAACTTTTGCAATTGCGCCATCATTAATCAGTTTACCATGCTTAGCTTCCACAATTGTGACAGCAATTATGAATTCAATAAATAAAAAACTAATTTTTCATCGATTAATTTCTTTACTACCAGAGAAATGGTAGTAAAGAAATTAATCGATGAAAAATTATATATGAATGCTTATGATAGTCAAAAAGAATACAGTAAAAGAAGATTCATAGCAAAAGTATCTCAGAATATAAATTATATTTATAAATTGAAGTTTAAACAAGAATAAGCTCGAACAAATGGATTTTTTCAATCTTTTAGATTCTCATAGGCTTATCATTTCAATATTAATTTAATTACAATCCACTTATCACCTGATAAAAATTGTTTGTAGTCAGTATACATTTACCATGATTAGTATGCATTACCATCATCTTGCAGCACAATTAATTAATTTAAAAGTTTGATGCTTTTTTATCTTGCGAGGTATTTATTTTGCCAATAAGATCATCTTCAAAAATGAAAATCTTAAATCACAGATTAATTGTCATTTCAGATCTGACTGATAGACTGATCACATTTTACGCAATAAAAGACTTCAAATTACTTTTAATGACTAATATTTAAATTCATTCAATTTCATTCTGAAGAATGAAATGTAAACAAATTCTTAAGCAATTCTTAAGATCTTTGCAGAAGTTAGCAATAATTTTGCCGCCAAAAAAAACGGAAAAATGTGGCAATAACTGCTTCTGGAAGATTGATGAGAATAGAATATATTTTACTTTATTCTCTCCTGTCCTCTCTTCGAGGCAACCGACCTAATGGCTATTACAGAAGTTTCTCGATTGGATCAATGCGTCAGTCGAAAGATATCATTAAATATGTGTAATGTAATATACTAGAGCAATATTTACAAAATAATAAAGTCCTGTTAAGATAGTGATGATAATGATAAGGGACTAACTCTTACTGTATTAGTTGTAAAGCAAAATTAGATAAAATAGCAAGAGTCATTCGCTTTGCTGATAATTATTTGATAAAGGATTAAATTCGAAGTGATTATTCGGATGAAAATGATATGATAACATGATCATACCTCAGCAACATCTCGTTAAATACCGGTATGAACTTAATAATACTTATTATGCTATATTTAAATGCACGGGACCGCAGATAATCGGCTTTCATTTACTCTGTCAGTTACTCTGTCAAAATACAGTTATTTAACGAATATAAATAATTTTAATAAAAAATCAGATATTAAGAAAGCAACATGCAAAATAAATGTTTCCAACCAAAATTTATGAAATAAAATTAAAATTTTACAATTCTTATTTTAAATTAAGGAATTCTGTTTATTTCAAACAAATAAATTAATTAATTAATGATATTAATGAGATTTTTGGGCATAATTATTTGAAAAAAAATCAAATAATATTGATGTTACTAAGTAAATTTTGTTGGCAACTCTTTTGGATTTTCGAGTTGACTCATCCTTATGCTGTAGAAAATGTTTAGGGAAAATTGGAAAGAAGAAGAGGGAAGAATTGAGAAAGAAAAATAGCCAATTTTAACAGCTGGTTGAAAAGATAGGAATGTTTTATGACAGCAATATTCAAAGGAACAAATCAACAAAGGCTGATCATTTAGCACTCCGAAGAAAGTTTGGATGAAAGAAAATAAACAACTGCTGCATTGTAAGATCTTTTTATCAGTAGATAATGAAGGGACCGAATTGAACTCTTAGAAAATGAAAGAGATCCTTTTATCAGGCTGATATGCTATATTCAAT